AAAAAAAAAAAGTCAGTTAACATTTCAAAGTTTATTGATTTGAGTTGCACACGCAGCAATCTGTTTCAGTGATTCGTTGATTTGGATCAATGTATTTGAGATTGCTGTCAGCTGGTCCTGTAGCTCAGTGTGCCTTTGGTTGTTGCTTGTTGGTCCTGCAGCACTGCCTCTGTTAGTACTTTTGACCCACCATGACGCACTAAGGAGGGTTTGGCTGGTCCCGGTTCTTCCAGCTCCACCAGCGTCTCTCCCGTCTCCTGTTTAAGAAACACATTTTCACATTGTCACATATATTGTAATTTTCACAAGGTTCACTGTCATTAAATTCTTACACCTCAAAATAAAAGGTTTGCAAACACCACAGCTCAGTTGGGTTCTTCTACCTACAGTTACGAGGGTGGATGGTCCCACTGGTTCTGTTGGGACTGGGTCTGTATCGCCGAAGACCCCAGATAGCGCTGTGTCGCCGATGATGCTGGCAATTCGTGTGTCCATGGGTGAAAGCTGAGAATCAGTTTGTCCTCCTCCAAGTGCAGCAATAGTTCCCTTATGGCCTGTGATGTGTTTTTTGGCACAGAGTTGGATGTAGATCTGAGCCCTTTTTTTAAGGCAGGAGATGAACGATGAGTAGGTGACCCACTCCCTGCTGCAGGTGTCCACCATCAGCTGATTAGCTAGAGCAGCGGTCCCCAACCTTTTTTGCACTATGGACAGGTTTTACACAAGAACATTTCCTACGGACCGGTCATTGCACACATAACAACAGACAGTTTTTTTCTAATAAAAGGTTTCACAAACGAATAAATTACCTGCTAAATATGAGTTTACTCTTTCTTCTGTCTCAGCATCGAGTCTTTCCCACTTTCCAAAGAAGCTCTCCAGAGACGTTTGTTTTTTTATACATCGATTAGACTGACGGCTTTGTTTAACGGCCGGGCATGAAAACTGACAGTCAAGTGCGGGAAACAAGCGCAAACGGAAGTGATGGGAGGATGAGCTAATCATTTTTCTAAAGAAAAAACACCCTTTACACCACGCTGGAAATAGAAATAAAACAATAAAACTTTTTTTCTTTCTGTGCAGCCCGGTACCAAATGACCCACGGCCCAGTTTCGCTCCACGGCCCAGTGGTTGGGGACCACTGACCTAGAGTGAAGCACAAGCACAGCCAGATGCACACCAAACTCACACCACTGATTAGGGGAGGAAAAACAGGAGGGGAAACTGCCAGCTCAGCAGAGATGGAGGGCATGACAGTGCAACACATTTCTTACATGATTTTAATGTATGAGAGTATCTTCCCATGTTTTGTGATTGTTTGTTTTTAATGTAGCACATCTTAAAGGAAACTCTCAAATGTTGTGGTATCATGTGTACAATGGCTGCAAGGTGGCGCAGTCGGTAGCACTGCTGCCTCGCAGAAGCAAGAAGGTTGCCGGTTCACATCCCGGTGGAGGCACCGGAATCATTCTGTGTGGAGTTTGCATGTTCTCCCCGTGCAGCGTGGGTTCTCTCCGGGTTTTCCGGCTTCCTCCCACACAGTCCAAAAACATGTTGAGGTTAATTGGTGATTCTAAATTGTCCGTAGGTGTGAATGTGAGTGTGCTTGGTTGTCTGTCTCTAAGTGTGGCCCTGTGATAGACTGGTGACCTGTCCAGGGTGTCCCATTGCTTTCACCCTGAGTCAGCTGGGATAGACTCCAGCCCCCCATGACCCTCGTGAGGATGAAGCGGTGTATAGAAAATGGATGGATGGATGTGTACAATGATAATAAAGATAATAGTAATGTAATATCTAGTCTAATAGTAATGTATTCATCTTAGTTTAAACTTGATAACAAAGACAGAGCCCATGCACCTCACAACACATATCTCCACAACGTATGATGCAATAATTTTATTATTAATATCACTAATAGTAGTAATAGTAGTAGTAGAAGAACATTATTCAGAATCCATTTTGTTTTCATTATTCAGTGTATAATGAACCTGCACATGACTTCTCTCCATACAAATAACAGAGTGGTATGTACACAGAGTGATATGTACAGAAACATAACAATTGTTATTGTTCTGGTATAGATACAATATATATAACTGTAATTATACAGTTCTTCTGTACTATTTTGACGTTGATATTAAAGACAGTATTGTAATATGATAATGATGAAACAATATATGACAATACTATTCCTTAGGTCTCCCTTTTATGAACCCTGTCAGTGGATCTGTCGGTTATTTCATGTCCATTTTCAAATCATTCCCTCTCCAAATTATACACTTGGTTGCATCCATCATGCAATGGTGAACATAGCAGCTGGAAGCGCAGGGCCAAAGTTCTGGACCTGATTTGTCGGTCCCGCAGCCCATCAGTGATTCGTTTCCCCAAATACTGACAGCTGACGGATACTCAGGGATACTCTTCCTCCAAACACTCAGAATGTTTGACATTACCATGTGGTGGCAGACATTATAAATACACAAAGTATAATGTATATAAGTATGTTTTATTTAGAAAAGCCAGTATGTGTCACAAATATTAGAATGTTCCTTTTCAACATTTATGGCCTTTCATTGTTTGTTGACAGTCGAGCATTCTTCAAAGAATCCCAGGACATTGATGCATTGACCGTACATTTGATTTGAGCTATAATGTATTGTTGTTTGATGTAGGAGGCACAATAGGGATGGCGAAAACGAGGCCTCATGAAACATCGAGTCAATTTGACACAGCTGCCTTCCATTACGTCGAAACATTTGACACAATCAGAGAGCGCCATCTGCTGGTTGTGGGTGTGTGACACATTAGAAGGGAAGCGTTGACAGCACGTCCTCCCTTCACGTCTTTCTGTTTCAGAGTGTCTCATCTTCGACTAAGTGTTCAATAAAGGATACGTTTCTAACCTTGTGTGACCGTCTTCCTCTGTCGTGAATAAACAGTAAATGAAGAAAGGGGGCTTTTAGGTGATATTGGGTTAGGTAACATAAGATGATGGTGTAATTTAAAGTACACTAATCTGTAGTGACAGAAACTCTTGCAGCAACATCTGTTTTTGTAAACGTGAACGTAGTAGAATATGGGTGCTTCTGCAACGGTGTCACGATCCAATACTAGAACTACTAATTGAGTAGACGAGAGATTGACAAACTACAAAACTGGATGCAGGATTTGGGGTGAGCAAGGTAACTTAAGGTTAAATACTGGGTTTTCAGTTCGACGACGATGGTTCACTTCTTACCGGGGTACATCACCATGTGTGAGACTGAGATCACTGGGTATAAAAACACCGCCCCCTGAAAATCAGTTCTCTTCGGTAAAACTTCAAAAGGTGTAGAAAACGAAGCAGTTCTTAACAAAATGGCAACACCATTCATAGAAGACTGTGTGTGAATTGTGAGGGATCACTTGTAAGGGTGCGCTAAGGGGTTTTTCGGGACCAGCAAAACCCCTTAGTGCACCCTTACAAGTGTCTTTATGAGCTTGTGTCTTCCTTCATATATATATTTTTTCCTGTTGGCTACAGGCAATGTCAAAGCTCTTTTATTTTTTTTCTCCATACCAGTATCAACCCACAACAGTAAACTGATTTTAGCATTAAAGTTTTTATTTGTAGGTCTTAATTTGTTTCCACATCCTTTTTACACCACCAGGGTCACTGCTGAAAGCAAAAAGAATGTCAGATATGCCACAAGTATATACATTAGGCAACAAATTAATTAAAAGGAATCCTCAGATGAGCTTATTGTCTGATACGTGCCTTCATGATGGATCAGTGATCATATTTTATTATAAACTAATGAACTAATGCATTCACACAGTCAGCAGTTTCCTGCCAGCATTCCTTCCTGGCTTTGGTCACTGCTTTTTGCTCCAATGATGTTTTTATAGTCTTCATATTTAGTAAAGATTATATTCTGCTCCTCGGCGGTAAAGTGAGTCGCTCTGCAGCCAGACTTGTCCATAGTCGCGATTGGTCAGATGCCGATAACGCCACCCTTTTTTTGTGCTCGCGCTCATACTCTAATCAGACAAACCTGGGTTGACTTACTGAGTTGATAACCACTGTTGTGTGACCCAGTAGCCTGAGTGCGGTTGTTAGGGTTAGTCAAGCCGGATCTCTGAAACACATCCTGGGTATGTTGACCTCGCTTCGTTGTACAGGACCCAGGTGTGACTTGCCAAAAAGCTCTAGTTTTGTCTCATCTCCCGTTGACCTGAAACTTCAGAATAATATGTGCAACTGCTTGGAGATGGTCTCATGGTCTTTACCTTTAACATGCTCATTCTTTCTAATCTCCTGAGATCTGAGAGTCTCTCCTGAGCTTTCTGTGGTCCATGTTCAGTGTGGAACACACCATGATACCAAACAGAACAGTGACTACTTTTCACCCCTTAAATAGGCCGACTGACTCACCTTAGTTTAACATGTCTCTATGTTCAAATTATTTTTCGTCTTTTTCTGGGGGTGCCATCATTTTTGTTAAGGCCAGTTTAATTTGTTTGTTTTTTAAAAATTATTCTGTTGAGCCCCAATTCAAAAGCATATGTCTGATTTTCATTAGTTAATTTTCAGTAATTTGTTTTACTTATTACTACTTAGAACTTACAACTCAGTTTCAAGTTATTTCAGTGACCATTGCAGGTTTTTCTTTCTTAACAGAAGGGTACCAACTAAGTGTGCAGGCCAATAAATTACTTGAATCATTAAATCATCTGCGTACTTTTTTGTAACACATGGATTAAATGTTCTAGAAACACACTGCAATATGTGAAAATGTCAAACAACATTGAAAATTTATTTTTGCATAAGTCAACAAAACAAAAAGGTACAATGGCTTTAAAATACATTCAGAACAACAGGTTTTGTTTGTTTGTTGTTGTTTGTTTAGTTTTGTCCCCCAATTTGTAAGGGTTTGATTTATATTATGGCTTCTTGTTCATTAACAGTAAACGTATATAATAGTACAGGTGATTCTAAATACAATAAAATAAATGCATTTTTTCACAGGTCAAAAATAAATGACAACAGTCTCGCTAATGAACTGTTACTCATCAGATGCCACGTCCGTCTGCCCGTCAGTCTGTTCAGCTTTCCATCACTGTTCCTCTGCTCAGACCATGGAGGTGCTGCTTGAGACAAACTGACAGAAAAAGCAACATTCTCATTCACATTTATTTTATTGTAGAGCTTATTCAGTGTTAATCTATTGAGTAAAAAAAAAAAAAAACGTATCATACTGCTTTGAGGAAAGGGATATTCACAGCTGACAGCACAAATCCCAAGGCTGCAGGAAAGAAAGACCTGCAGATGCAGACAAACCATGAAATGACACATTCCAAGTTTTATGAACTGCTGTATTCATTTCATTAAGTTAGGAGATATGATGTAAAATACAGAAGAAAAAAAACACTTAAATGACTGAGATTAACTGTTACAACCACAATACAAGGACAGTGTACAGTAATACAAACAAAAACATGCCTATTTTACATATTTATTATTCAGATAATGGTTCTAAATCAATCAAACTAGCAACATAAGTGATTATCATTAGTGTTATTAAAGACTATGCTCTTTTTACTGTGTCAGAAACACTTACCTGAAAAGAAGGACAAAGCCATAACTCTCCACAAGCATTCCAATGATTGGCCAACGGCACAGCACCAGTGACACGCCACCAAGGAAGAAAAAAGTAGCTCGAAACTTCTGTCTTTGAAAGAGGAAATGGGCTGTTCTCCTGAAGCCGATCATGGATGTAAAACCAGCCAGGAACATGATCTAGAGAACATGGCAGGTTGTTAAACACATTGTAAGACTTTGGTTATTGTATTATTTATTGGTTACTTTGGTTGGGGTGGTTGGACTTTTTGCACTGAATGTCTCTAGTTTTGATGTCTGTAACCTACATCTACTCGTTAAATGTATTTACTTCACTGTACTGCAAAGAAATAAAGCACATTTCACTGCACTGCATTAATTTAACATCTGGAATTACGAGTTACTTTACCAGTTACAGCTGAGCTAGTCAGTGCTTTATATGAACAATACGTTAAATGACCTGAAGTATTAAAGAAGTAGTTCTTATTGACCTTTAAATTGTTTCCAACATTTATAAACCTGTGCTTTTGTGAATTCTGTGAATGTTAATAAGGGCCAGTGAAAGATGTGATGTTGAGGCTGGCTAGATGACCAGAGAGATTACTTACATTCCCAATGGCCAACAAGACTGAGTCAAAGTACAGCAGCACACCGAAGAGCAGGAAAAACAAACCAAATCCCATCAGACCAATAGCAATCTCTGGAAGACAAACATACACAGGAGAAGTAAGGAAATTACAGCAAGAGTGTTGTCACTTGACAGAAAGTTCTACATGTGCCTTACAATAGTAACAGTGACTTATAATAACAGTCCATGAAGTTTATTCGTGGATAGATGTGTTAATAGACAAGATAATCACATTTCATAGCCATAAGGATCCATAGTCATTTAGCCGTCTCCAACATTCAGAGAACTGCAGAGCTGTTGAAACAGTTGGCATTGGATGTCAAAGCTGAGGAGCAGATTCTGGGGGACAATAGGCCCGTTTTCTTAACCTTGGTCATAAGTAAGCCACCCAAGAGGCCGTCCTTCCTATGAGCTATGGCCCAGTAAAAGATGCCACATACAGACGTGGACAAAATTGTGGGTACCCCTTAGTTAATGAAAGAAAAACCCACAATGGTCACAGAAATAACTTGAATCTGACAAAAGTCATAATAAATAAAAATTCTATGAAAATCAGACATTGCTTTTGAACTGTGGTTTAACAGAATTATTTTAAAAACTAAACTCACAAAACAGGCCTGGACAAAAGTGATGGTACCCTTAACTTAATATTTTGTTGCTCAACCTTTTGAGACAATCACTGCAATCAAACCATTTCTGTAACTGTCACTGAGACTTGTGCACCTCTCAACAGGTATGGTGGTCCACTCCTCATGAGCAGACTGCTCCAGTTGTCTCCGGTTTGAAGGGTGTCTTCTCCAGACGCCATGTTTCAGCTCCTTCCACAGATGTTCAATAGGATTTAGATCAGGGCTCATAGAAGGCCACGTTTTCCTCTGAGCCATTCTTGGGTGTTTTTAGCTGTGCTTTGGGTCATTATCCTGTTGCAAGACCCATGACCTGCGACTGAGACCAAACTTTCTGACACTGGGCAGCACATTTCTCTCTAGAATACCTTGATAGTCCTGAGATTTCATTGTACTCTGCACAGATTCAAGACACCCTGAGCCAGATGCAGCAAAGCAGCCCCAGAACATAACAGAGCCTCCTCCATGTTTCACAGAAGGGACAGTGTTCTTTTCTTGATATGCTTCATTTTTGCATCTGTGAACATAGAGCTGATGTGCCTTACCAAAAAGTTCCACTTTTGTCTCGTCTGTCCATAGGACATTCTCCCAGAAGCTTTGTGGCTTGTCAACATGTAGTTTGGCAAATTCCAGTCTGGCTTTTTTAGGATTTGTTTTCAACAATGGTGTCCTACTTGGTCGTCTCCCATGAAGTCCACTTTGGCTCAAACAATGACGGATGGTGTGATCTGACACTGATGTACGTTGACCTTGGAGTTCACCTTTAATGTCTTTCGAGGTTGTTCTGGGCTCTTTTGTTACCATTCGTATTTTCCGTCTCTTCGATTTGTCATTAATTTTCCTCCTGCGGCCACGTCCAGGGAGGTTGGCTACAGTCCCATGGATCTTACATTTCTGAATATGTGCAGCTGTAGTCACAGGAACATCAAGCTGCTTGGAGATGCCCTTAGAGCCTTTACCTTTAACATGCTTGTCTATCATCTTCTTTCTAATCTCCTGAGACAACTCTCTCCTTGGCTTCCTCTGGTCCATGTTTAGTGTGGTACACACCATGTCACCAAACAGCACAGTGACGATTTGTAACCCTATAAATAGGCCGACTGACTGATTAGAAGTTTGTATACACCTGTGATGCTAATTATAGGACACACCTTGATTGAACATGTCCCTGTGGTCACATTATTTTCAGTCTTTTCTAGGTGTACCATCATTTTTGTCCAGGTCTGTTTCATGAGTTTATTTTTTAAAATAATTCTGTTAAACCACGGTTCAAAAGCAATGTCTGGTTTTCATTGCTTAATTTTCATAGAATTTTTATTTATTATTACTTTTGTCAGATTCAGGTTATTTCTGTGACCATTGTGAGTTTTTCTTTCATTAACCGAGGGGTACCGACAATTTTGTCCACGTGTGTATGTGTGTGTATGTAAAAGTAGAAATGTGATTTAAAGAAGTGTTGCTGCTGTCAAGGCGGGTGTCTGAACACAGGTGGAACACACAAGCAAGCAGAGACAAGTGGTGATTATGCAACAAAGGTTTATTTAACATTCATTTAAGAAAGTTACCACAAACCAGTTTAGGATGGGAGAACTAGGATGACACAGGATTTCACATACGCAGTAGGACTGCCTCTGGATAACAAATGGCAGAACACATGACAGTGTGGATGTACTGGTTACCAAACTTGAATTTCGGCAAAGGACCAATACAGTCAATTCCAATATGCTCTAAGGGCTCCCCAACTAAGGGAACTGGCCTTAATGAAGCAGCAGGATATCACCTGATTGGGTTTACCAGAGACTTGGCATGTATGACACGAACGGCAGAATTTAACTGATTTAAGTCCAGGCCAGAAGAAATATCGGAGTATACGGTTATAGGTTTTTGTGATTCCCAAATGACCAGAGAATGTGTGATCATGGGCTAAACTAAGGACGTGAGGATGGAATGGTTGTGAAACTACAATTTGGAATACCGAATCATGAGTTGAACCAGACAGAGGAGACCAGTGGCGCATCAGTACACCGTCATCGACAAGGTAAGACACAATATTTTCACCTGCTGAGGTTTGGACTAGAGACCAACACGATGCGAAAGTGACATCAGTTTTCTGAGCTTCAATCAGCTGTTCTTTATCAAGAGATAACGTGAGACTTTTATTGTCAGGACAAAGTTCAATGGAGACAGATGTACTTTCTTTAGTCTCCGAAGATGGATTTGTTGGATCAGAGTCATTCATAAAAGAGTCACTAAGATCCACCAACTCTCCGAGTTTGCGTGCCTGAGCATGGGTTACAAAGCACACAGGGAACAGGGCATGAGATCGGCGCAACAGGATCAGAAAAACACACGTCATAATTTTCTATGACTACGGGCTACGGAAGACTTTTTCACAGGCCAAATCATTTCCAAGAATAAGATCGATGGCAGGAATCAGCAACTGAGGGCCCATAGTGATCTGTATTTTACCTGACACAAATTTGGAACACAACTGCACACAATGCAAGGGCGCATGGGCAACACTCATTTTAACTCCTCACATTAAAATGTCTGCACCACAGTAAGACTGATCAGTAACTGAAGGACATCACCACAGGTCAGACACTGCTTTGCACAAGTATCCCATAGGACAGTGATGGGAACAGTTTTGTCCTCACCGACCAGGGGAACAGAACCCTGTGACATAAATGGCATGAATTCTGCAGCAGTTTGGATTTGGTGAGTATGTACATTTTTTTTCTGGGTGTGTGACTAAGTTTGAATGAAGCCTATTGGATATGGTGTTTTACCAATTTTGGACTGCTCTTTCCTTTTCAGAGCAGGACAGATGGGATGAGGTGTTCCTGTTCATAGCAGTAAAAGCACTCTCATGTACTGGTGGCAGCAGTGTGGCTACCATAGAAGCTTTTCGGGGACCGGCTTCACCTCCACCTTAGCCAGTCGGAACGCTCCAAATATAATAATATGACCCAGGGTTGTATCATTGTTGCTTGACCAGGGTCATAACATCAGTGTCTATGGTCTGGCAGAGACTGAAAGTTATTTTGTGACAGTGCTAGGCTATTCCTGAGAGACGTGCTGTGCCTCTTAGCCCGTGGTTAATAAATAAATCTTCAGTAACACCCACAGCTAAAACATTTGGTGAGGACACAGACAAATTTGTTTCCAGCCGATCCAAGAATAGTTGCAAAATAGGTCAAATCTTTATTTATTGCCCTTTAAAAATGGAAAAAGGCTCCAGTATTTATATTTTCCACCAGAAATATAATCTTTGGTTGACATGTTGCCAATGTGCCTTTCTACCTGGTACTCAAAGTACTTTATAATGTGTTTATCTTTCACCCACATACACACACATTCATACACCAAATGGCAACAGAGCTGCCATGCAAGGTGCTGCCTGCTATTGGAAGCAACTTCAGGTTCAGTGCACAAGGCCACAGAATGTGTCACTTGAACTTGTTCTGTGGCACTTATCTAGATTGTTTTCTCCTGACTAGAACCTTGCTTGTGTTGTATCCGCTCTCAGATGTACGTCGCTTTGGATAAAAGCGTTTGCTAAATGAAACTGTAGAATTGTAGAAATTATTGTAGAAATTGTAGGATGTGAAGGGACGGTGGAATGAACCAACTTTGCGATAAGTGGACAACCCACTCTAGCACAGACTCCCCTGTGACCAGTGTACATATGGGGTCAACTAATGCGTCTCAAAAATTCAAAACATTTAAAGAAAGTGTTTTTTTTCCATCAGTTTAAAGCATGTACAGTCAGGCACATACATATTTGGACATTGACACAGTTTTCAGCATTTCGGCTCTGTACACCACCACATTGGATTTGAAGTAAAATAATCAAGATGTGCTCTAAGTGCAGACTTTTACCTTCAAATAATTATACGCAAGTATAAACACCATGGAAGTGTTCAGCCATCATATTGCTCAGGAAGGAGACGCGTTCTTTGTCCCAGAGATGAATGTGTTTTAGTGTGAAATGTGAGAACACATGTTTATTTTCTATTTCTAGAAGATCTATGGTAAATTTATGAAAGACCCAAAATGCATGATTATTTTTTGTAATTTTTTTTAACTAAGGCTCAGGTTTCCATGATTTCATCACAGAGATTTTAGCATTTTAGAGGTCATTGGAAACTCAAGACGTCCATAACACACATGGTGTTTATATTTGTTCACACCTGTGTTTCAAAGTAGTCACTCTAATACAATAGCATAACAGAATTTCTGTAGTCCAGTTATGGGTTAAGCTACGTGTTCACAGGGGTGATTTTTCGCACGTGGTAATGCACTACTTCTGAACATCGCCTGCTTGATAGGCCACTAGCAGGCCACTGGGTGGTCACATGACAGCTGCTTTACCTTTGAGGTGTTGAACCAACATGGCGGCTCAAGCGCAAACTTATGGTTTTACTACTTCAACCTTTCAGCGAAAAATATTTCTGAAAACATTTGAGGCGAGAAACAAGCTATGTAGTTGTTATCTGTCCTCATTTTACACTGAACAAAAATATAAACGCCCCATGTCAAATATTGTTGCTGTGTGGAGTTAACAACTGTAAATGAGCATTTGCTGACATTTTATTGTACAAAAGTAATATTTCTCTTGATTTGTGTATAATTTTTTAATCCAACTTGCTGTCAGTGAGCATTACTCAGTGACTTGTTATTTTACTCAGTGCATGGGTGGGGCATGTCCAGTGGGTGATCAGACAAAATGAGCAACAGCTGGACAATCCTTGGACTGGGGACAATAAAAGTTCACCCCAAAATGTCAAATTTTGTCACAAGTCATAATGCCTCAGATGTTGCAAGTTATGCGGGAGCGTGCCATTGGCATGTTGGATGCAGGGATGTCCACCAGAGCAGTAGCTGCACGGCTCAATGTCCATTATCGGACCATAGGCCATTTAAGAGTTCGCTTCCAACAGACTGGCACTACTGCAAATCGACCTCATCCTCGTCGGCCACATATGACCACTCCAGCACAAGATCGCCACATCCGGCTCGTCCATCTGCGGGATCGGCTAAGACCAGCGACACACACAGCTGATGAGACTATTGGTCTGCACAACAGACGCATCACACGTCAGACTGTCCGTAACCGCCTACGAGGAGCCAACTTGGATGCTCGGCAACCTCACCGTGGTCTGGATCTCACTGCTGTCTGGCGCAAGAACCAACTCGCATGGGCGAATGCACATGTCCGATGGCCCTTGGCACGCTGGAGAAGAGTGATGTTCACTGAGGAATCCAGGTTCCAGTTGCATCATGCAGATGGAAGACAGCATGTCTGGCGACATGTGGGTGAACGGTTTGCAGATGCAAATGTTATGCCCAGGGTTGCCCATGGAGGTGGTGGCATTATGGTGTGGTCAGGCATCACATACGGGCATAGAACACCATTGCACTTCATTGAAGGGAACCTTAATGCACAAAGATATCGGGACAAGATTCTCACCCTAATTGTTGTGCTGTTAGTGCGCCAGCATGACATCATCTTTCAACATGTCAACGCCCGACCTCATGTTGACCGCATCTGCATGGAATTCCATCAAACAGAGGACATTGAAGTTCTGGACTGGCCTGCATATTCGCCAGACATGTCCCCAATAGAGCATCTTTGGGATGTTCTGGATAGGCGTGTCCAGGACCGTGTTCCAATTCCAGGCAATGTGGGTCAGCCCCGTGTGGCACTCCAGGAGGAATGGAATAACATTCCACAGGCCACCATAGACAATCTGATCAACTCCATGCGAAGAAGATGTGTTGCTCTGAGAGACGCAGCTGGCGGACACACAAGATACTGAAAAATCAAATTCCTCAACCTGACCCCTATCATGTTCAAAGGACTGTCAATCCACTACAAATGTCCACACCACCATGTTATCAATGCCGATATGAAGATCAGTAATTACTGAAAATATATTTTGAGTTCCTCTATATATTGCGGAACCCAAATGTTCATAAAGCTCTTATATTTGACATGGGGCGTTTACATTTTTGTTCAGTGTAGTTCAACAACGGCCAGTTTAGTCATTTTACAAAAGATTCGTAAGGCTTCTGACCTGAACTCCCCACACCAAATTTGAGAGCACACAGGCAATGCTTCACCTCGCGTTTTGAAACTCCCCGTGATGCTCTAGAACACAACGTGGAGCGTTTCACATACACAATGAATGGCAAGCATGAAACTGACGGATCCTGTGAAGACATAGCATTGTTGTTTTTGTGTGCCACCCTAAGATTTTCAGTGGCCCTATCTGGTTGCTTCTCTGAAGAGTTTCTGGATGGGCCACTGGATTAAATGTAAATACTATTACAATTCCATGAGTCAAACTAAATAGGTGACACTCCTGGAGGTTCCTACTTTCTGACCCCAGCTGCCTTAAATGCTGTGATATGTAAAAAGGTTCTTATTTCTTTTATTATTATTTTACCTTGATTAATAAAGTATATAGAATAAATAAAAACATAAATTACCTGAACTGATTAAACTGAAAGCTTCAGTGGTGAACTTCACAAATCCGATAGTCATATCCTGCCTTCCTTTACTTAGAGATACAACATTTAAAAAGTGCTGTTAAAATGTTTTTGCGCTCTAAAAGCAAGCAGGCGCTTTGCTCCATGGGTCATGTGAGGGCTACAGCTTTAACCTAACACTTTACAATAGAAGATCTGTGAGAACACTTACTCTGAAAGTCTGTGATGGCCTCCATAGTAAACACTGCTGTCTTCTCTCCGTGCTGGCTTTGTTTCTTTGTGGCTGTCTAGGACAAATGAGATAACTCCATATTTCAACTGTGACCTTTGCACGTTGACGTCGTCAGAGTGTGAGGTAAACATTAACTAGTAGGCAATCCCAGGTAAAGGGCCAACTATCTGAACAAGGTCATTAGCCATTAAAGGATACTTAAAGAATGTATCCCCATCTTGCATTCAGGCTTCTCAATACTGTCATTAAATACAGACAAACAAACAGACTGGACTGGTCCACAGACACAGACGCCCTGTATCGGAAGGGGCAGAGCCGGCTGTTCTTCCTCAGAAGACTAAGATGCTTCGATGAAGTGCTACATATGTTCTACCAGACAGTGGTGGCCAGTGTTCTGTTCTATGCTGTGGTCTGTTGGGATGGCAGCATGATTGAGAGAAACATTAGGCGAAGAAGGTCGGTTCTACAGTTCTACAATTCACAGTTTCATTTAGCAGACGCTTTTATCCGAAGCGACGTACATCTGAGAGCAGATACAACACAAGCAAGGATGTCGTCAGGAGAAAACGATCTAGATAAGTGCCATAGAACTGTGCTCAGCAGGAATTTGGACTCACTGAAGACTGAGGTGGAGAGACGTACACACAGCACAGTGTACCAGGCGCCTTATTTCTGTTTCTTCAACTAGCATGATTTGCACATCAGTTGCGTGGTCTTTTGTACATTGTTTGTTATCTATCTGTATGTAGCATGTATGACTTACTTGATACGTTGAATTGCAAAAAAAGTATTCCATCTTTATGCAACAAGAGACTTAAACCATTACTTTCATTACAAGAAATTCACACCACAGTAGCTCAACAGAGACTCCAACACAATACTTACACTTGATAGGTCGTTTTCACTTCCAATCATTTTTCTTTCCTGGAGATCACTTTGTCACAACAGCTCTTGTTTTAAATGCATTATATTATCAGTGACTTGACTTTATTTTTAGGTCACAGCAAATTAGTTTCAGCCCCAGGATGTATTTGGAGAAGTTTTGCAAATGCTATTTCATCTTAATCTACGGTGAAGCATGCTCAGATGGTCTTTGCTAGGGCACCTTAATCATGCAACATGAATCATTTCTTATGCAGCTCTATTGTGTCCAGACTTCTCAACCCACCTAAACTGCAGATAAATTGCTGGTCATCTTGATCATCAGATTCACAGTGGCTTCCCACTACACAGACACTGAAACAGCATAACCTTATCTTATCATGATGAACTAGAGTTATTGGTCACTTTAAGGGTCTTATCTCATGCTGCTGCCTTAGCAGGTTGGGGGTCTTCTTTAATAACAAATGTTTTGCAGATGTATGACCCAGGGCCTTCGATCCTTGCCTGCTAACTTCCAGCCTACCACTCTTTAGCTCTATTCCCCTTCCTGCAGGAAACAAGTACTGTGTTTTGTGACAACGAAGCATCAGTCAACATTATTGAGAGTGCTCCTCAGTCATATCTGTGCTCTGTTTCCCTGCAGTCTGCCTTGCCAACATTTGTCTCATTTCATTTAAGACATTTAGATGTTGCAGTTTCTAGCTTTCTTGGAAAAGAATATTGATGTGTCCTCTTCAGTGGACCAAAGAAGTCCATCCAGAGGCAACAATAAACATCTATCTACTACACTTTCCTGGTGCAGTCAGTCCTCACGTAAGGTTTGGGTGTTTAAGTCTATATGTAGATACCCTCTGAGAACAGTCCTACCTGTGGCTTAGGGTGTTTCTTAGATGTGGGGAGTTAATTTTTTGCACTCAGAAATTCCATTCGTTGCATGATCTCGTCTTCTCTTAAGATAAGCAGAAGCAATCCATTGGCTTTGGGCTTTCAAAGCTGATTAATATTATTATAAAGGTGCTCTCAGCTTCCTTGCCGGTGCTCATATGCTTCCTGTTCCTTCTCTTCTATGATTCACGCCTGGAATGGTTACCCACTGCTAGCGGACATGAGTTTGAAGGCCTTGTCCATGCCTTGGTTTGCTCGACTCCACATCCCATACCAACGCCGTGATCTCTCCCCTGAGTTACACAACCTGTTCCTTCTGCTCGTCCTCTGCAGCGTATGAACATCTCCTCTGCCTGAATGCCATATAAAAGGACATAAATAGTTCATATTATACAAAATCTGTGATAACTACATCAAATTGGGGCACTGTTTCATGTCTGTTCATAAAGGTCATGCATGCTTGCACAAATTCAAAGGAAATACATCAGGCTTGACATCGCTCATAGTCTTGTAGCTCACACAGTATATTAACAGTATATAGACATAAACTACTTCAGGCCCAAAGCAGTTGAAGATAACAACAAAAAACTCTCCCTTGCAATCACATTACATTGTGCTTAAGCCTTACATGTTAGTCCTCCCCCAAAATGAAATATGGTGGATTTTTTTCATGACTTGCATCCTTACCATCTTCAACGTGTCCTCTTCACAGCACAGCAGTTTTTTCCTCCTCCTTTTACATTATTTTGCTTTTTAAAATAAAGGTTTAAAACTTGTCTCCCTGGAGCCTATCTCAGTCGACTTAGGGTGAAGGCAGGGGACGTCCAGGACAGGTCGCCAGTCTATCACAGGGCTACACTTATCTGTAAATTATGATGATTACAAATACATTTAAGATTTGTTCATTTGTTGTTTTTGCACTTTATTCATTCAGACATACAGTTTTATAAAACGAAGACAGTAGAATATCCTCAAGGAGCCTATCAGTAACAAGCACGCTAGACAGTTAACCTCAGTAGTGTTTTTGGCAGTGAACTTCATCAACAAGTGGAATAAAATAACAACAGTAAATATATTATCATTCCAGACAGTGAGACATGTTTTATCATACAAAATACTGTGATGAATTCATAAGCATCTAGAGAAACACATTATGTGTATACATTCACTTTATTGCAAAGTTTTCTGAAAGCAAGCAATTTATTTGTCTAATTTTATTCATTTGCATAGTTCAAGCAGTTTGTCTCTTTTCCCCAAAGTAGCAATAGTTATGTGATAGCAGGATATATTGTTTCTGAAATCCAAAATATTATATACATTGAGCAATGTATATAACGTATATATTCTTTATTTTCATCATTTACAAATGCTACATCTAATATCAAATATCGGACACCACCGTTTGGCTGTCGTTTCACAACACATCAGATTCCAATTAATTCAAAAATATCTATGTTCTGCTCCTTCAAACGATCCACAAGAGCAATAAAAGTAAAACTGTCTGGCTTGTAAAAAAAACAAAAAAAAACAAACAAAGCAAAACATTGTGTATTTGAGTGTAAAAATTTAACCTCTCAACTTGACACTGTATATCCATGCATCTAAAAAAATATGTACCACCTCTGTTGAACGTTTGTCCTTTCTAAAAAATAAAAATGAAGCAAGAAAAAATAGAAGTATTCTCTTAAATTGTTTTGTTTTTGCGTTGTGATAACTGTGGATTGCTTTCTCCCAAAAAAAAACAAAAAAACAAACAGTTTTCTGTAACATATCGTCTCAGAATGTGGACGTACTCTTTACAAAGACAGGTCACTTAAACACTGAAGAGTGTCAGGGCAAAATAAGCACAATGAACACACACACACAGAATGAGGAGTGTGTGTGTGCGCATGTTTGTGTGTGTGAGAGAGAGAGAGAGACATGGACAGACAGACAGACAGACAGACAGATAGATAGAAGTCTCTATACAACTATTTTTAAGGGACAAAAAGCAAATCCTCATATTGTAAATTATGAATTTTAAACATGTCCGACAGTTAAACTGGAAGCAGACCTTTCAATGGAACAATGATCCGAAGCACACAAGCAAAACCACCAAGAAAAAAAAAAAAATAACAGAGAACATAATATTGGATTATGGAAGTCAAAGCCCAAATGTGAATCCCTTTGAAATGTTGTGGGCGAAGCAGCACATGCAGGGAAATTGTCAAACATCTTGCAAATGAAGGAATTTTGCATGCAAGAGTTGTCAAACATTTCAGCGAGTCCATGTTAAAGACTGACTGACAGTTATGCAAAACACCTACAACAAGGGGTTTTTATTAAATTAGGCAATCCTTTTCCCACTGAAAAATAGTACATCTTTTGATATCTTTGTTGAATAATGCTTGGAAAAGCAAATCTGAATCAACAATTGGAAAACTTAAGTTTCTTTTAGGCACTGCATTGTAGAGGATTAAATGTCCGCTTGCCCACATAAGTCAAAAAAGCCAACAATTTCCATAATGGGGTGTACGTTCACATACCAATATATTACAAAATATCTGTATTCGTCATAATGTGTATAACACATGTTTTGGGCTGATGGCGCTGAATGACTGGATGAAATGTGGTGGGGATATGTTACAGTACAGTATTTTCCAGTATATAATTCCTCACAAATGGCTGCATCATTAACTACCTGGTCTTCTAAGGTCACTTCTATTTCCACATCCCTCATCCAGCATAATATTTAAAATTACATACCCAACATACATTACCTATATACAGTAGGTGTAGACAGTCACTGAAAAAGTCAACACTGCACAGAGCAAGGTCATTATTTCCAAGAGCAGCCAAATCCACCAAATCGTGTGGCAAGCTAAAGTATTTCTAACCTCCCTGGTCAGAGACTCTGCAGGACTGACTGCAGGCAGAGGTTACAAAAATGCCTCTGTCAATGTACAGAGTATAGTTTCAACAGCTGCATTTCATGAGGAAACATATATATTAACAAGACCACATCTGTGTACTCCAATGTATTATATACAAAACTTTGTTTTGGGGTGAATCAATAAGGACATTACTCTTAAAATCTCAAGATTCCGTCTCAAAGCCTCAAAGACGGGGATTATAGAGGGACGCTGATTCTGATTCTAACTTGTTGTAAAATGTGTGCCATGTTTTACATCATGCTGTTCACCTTCAGCTCTCCCTCACAACAGAATCTGTGCTTCAGTGTGTTTGTTGCAACAGATGAGTGATGACATGAAGCAAAACCTAATCCAGGTGACGTTGCGTTTGATCCAATCAAATGTCTGTGATGTGGGAGGTTAGGATGTGTGGGATTGGAATTCTGCCTGAAAAAGGCATCACAGTGAGACATCACAGTGACTTTATAAGGAGAGTACTTAGAATTTAACAAAGAATAAGAGGCTTCACTCTTGTCAGAATATGTCATTCTGGGCAAATGCCCACAGCCTGTAGCTAAGCCCTGCTCCTCACTGGCTCTCACAAGCTATTGGTGGTTTGGTTGATTGGTACTTTTACAGCTTCTATGAAAGTCAGATGATAATGAACAGCCTCAGGCCTTTAGTGGCCCAAAACATCTTCAACCCCAGTGAGATTTACTCATCATTGTCCCAAACATTTCTTAAGTTGTCTCGGTTTCTCTTTCCCTTGTTCATCTTCAGCGTGGGCCTCTCATATGCAGTGTTACCTTGTGAAAGGATCACACCTCAGTTCACTGACATTTTGACATTATGAGTGTGAAACGTCTCACCAGCAGCATAGTTCATCAGTAATCTCTAAATATGTCCTGAGCTAAATTATATAGAAATGTTCGGGGGATAAAGTCACAAGTCCTAATAGCATTCATTTGGGTTTTAAACTTGCTCTTGCCTCCTCGAAACATCCTTGGATAGCTGTGAATGTTTTTGTTGTATCAGTTCAGCCTCTAAAGTTCAAAGTCTGAGGCATCTTCATTGTTCAGTTTTTCCAGTGAATCCTCAGAAAGATGCTCCATCAAACTTCACAGTAGCAAGGCCTTGAACTGAAACAGGTAAAGAAATATCAGATCATTCATCATTAATGACCAAATACTATTTACTATAAGTGCAAATAAGTGAAGTTTGTAAGCCATGCTAGTAACAACTCACTTGTAATTTCTACTTACAGTGGTAAAAAAAAAAAAAAAAAACAAACAACAAACCTATATCAGTCACACATAATGTGCCATGCCATAAGAATCATGCATAAGAGCAGCGTCCATGACTAAAGTGAGCAGCGTGTCCAGACATTGGGACAGAAGAGGATTTGAGGCCACGGCGTCGTGAACATAGACTCACCTTGTAAGACTCACACCTGCATGATGTCGGCGGAGTTGGGAAAGTCAGCAGAGGGAGGGGTAGGAACCAGGCTGGTCGGGGAGGTGGGGGGACTGGAGGCACACTGGGCTGGAATGACACGGGAAGGGGGTGGTGATGAGGTGGAAAAGTGAAAAGTGGAACGCAAAACAAGAAGTGAAAGGCAGCAATACAGTGAAACAAACAGGTGAACAAGAGGGATCCCTGTTCATTCAGACATGTAACTTTAAAGAATACTGTTAGTTCTGGTTACCCCAGATCAACATATATATAAATATATATATATGCTCAGCTGAATATATTCGATTTCCTGGAATAATATGCTTTGTTTACAGGTTTGTAATTTTATTTTGGGTGCTGACTACAATATGTCGACATGCTTTTAAATGTTCTAAGAATGTATTATTGTTCATATACTGTACATTGCTGCAGGCAAACCAAGCTGTCATTGCTATTTCCTATGTTTACTTTGCGTATGTACTGGTTTTGTGTGTGTGTGTTTGTGTGTGTGTGATAAATCTTTTGTCTTTCTGTGCCACCAATGATGAGGACCTGGAGTTTCCAGTGACTCCTGTAACTCTTATTTTTCGATGATGGAATCTTTGAAGTCTTTGTCACAAAAAGCAATCATGCATTTTGGTTCTTGTATCGATTTATTGTAGTTCTTCTAGAAATATGACAAAATTTGCTGGGTCAAAAATATGCATGAGGCAAATTGAATTGTCAGTTTTGGTGATGTCAAGGGCTCCTGTTAACATATGCAACCCTTTTTTTTATCAAAGTGTGTAAGTTAAAATTTCAAGTGGTCGTATTTGTGGGAATGCATAATGATCATTCAACTGTTTTGGTGTCACTTTAAGTGGCACAGACAGTTACTGCGTTAGCCAAAGTGGTGAAAAGACGTATTTGTTTCTTGCATGGTCTTGTCAGTCTGTCCCTGCCTGATGCAATTTAGCTGTTGTATGTTTCGAGGAAAGAAAAGGCAGCTAGTGAAGAGGGACAGGTACCGACTCAGACACACCTGATGATCAGTGTACAGGTACAGGCAAACAATGAAGGAAAAATTTGCATACACTTAATTACAACGGCTAACGCGGTAGTGGGGCTGCAAAATTAAGTGAATTTTCTACCAGTAATGATTTTAGCCTCCCACCATTACATGAACACCATCAAGCGCAGTATTTACACTACAAGGATGTATGAATTGTCAGGTGCTTTGTGATGATGCTATGTGGGAAGAGTCCTTACCAGAGAGAAGGCGGCTACGACGAGAGGCCTCAGCAGCCAGAGTACAGGAGATCTCAATACGCTTTTCCTGCTCCTGCAACTGCTGCTGGGAGCTTGCTGGAGCTCCACCTTCCACTGGGCCGTCAAGGAAAGGAACCATGTTTTGCAAGCTGAACGTCAGTAAACACAGATGAAAAGGCATGTAAATATAAAGAAAAAAGGAGGAGGAAAATGATGGTTTTGTTCGTCACAGATACTGATAGTGCCATATCTTAAAAATATAAAATAGTATCATCTGCATACAATGACATTTGAATTCCATGAGCTTAACATTAATACCGCAATTTATGTTGCAGTGTCATGGCTAAAATGAACACTGTATAAAGGAAGTAAACAACCTTCCTAAGTTTCTTCTCTACAGAATAAAAATCATGAATCCATTTACTTAGATTAATGGACTACATAAAAAAGGTAAGGTTTCAGTTGTTGTTTACAACTAAATGCTATGCTTTCTTTGGTTTATGCCTGCTATCTAAAAGTTGACAATAATCAGTTTTCAAATTTTCTTAGAGACAACCTCTATTCCAGATGTGAAGTATTTGTGCAGTTACACATGTTTTGTCTTTCAGGATTTGTGCTTCAATACATTAATTAAATAATAAAGTGGAATTACCTGTCATAGCCTCAGAGTGTTCCCATATTTTTAAAAATAAAAAATATAAGAAAAAAAAAACAACATCATGACTGTGGGCCCAGCCACACAGTCTACTGATATGGTTGCCAAATTCCCCTTTGCTAAAGCAGGAGGCAGTATGCTGTGTGACCCTATATGCTTCATGCCTTACAAGCTCACTACTAAAGTTGCACAAAACCCCACATATTACATCACACTATGAGTGTTAAAGTGGGTGTCAGTGTCAACTTTGTTGAGAGGATGAAGTGACTTATAAACGCTATCAAGAAAAAAGCCTAGCTCTATACTAACTCTTTGCATTTATATGTGTGTTCATTTCTAAGAACAGAAGGTAGCCAGCAGGTGTGCATTGATATGACATTTATATGAGAAATCTTTTCAGTGGCTTAGATGTGAACTCTAAGTAAGCAGTTTTTACTGGCTGTGTAATTGGGACATGTGTGTGTATATATATATATATATATTTAAATGTATTTGTTTATTTTATTTTTACCTGTCTCTGGTTTTTGTCTCATAGCTGCTTCTTGTCTGCATTGCTTGTTCCACTGCCTGCTGTTTTATGTACGACCTCTAGCCTGACATTGATGTTTCTGATTTTGAACTTTTACCTTCTGCCTGTGCTGTGCATAAAGTGTAACTGAAACTGTTAAAGGAAACAGCATGATTGTACCTACAGTCAGGCATGACTGTCATACAGATGTCATCATATAAAAGTGTCAAATATTCTTCTTTTTTTTTTTATTTGAAACAAATGTGGTGAAGCACAGACCTTGAAAAACGAAAAAATGTGTCACTGTCCAGATTTGTATATTTAAAAGTATTGTACTGTTCCACCTGGTGACACACAGTATAATTTAGAGAGTGATCCATTTATTGATGTACAGGAAGGTTCAAGGAAGGCATGTGATACTGGTTTGTAAGCAGTGTGAAAAACCGATTGCTTGATCTAGGTGTGTGTAAAAACTGTACTTTGATTTGGCAATGAGGGTCTTGATCCGCTTTAGTTTCTTCTGCTTCTCCTTCTGCTCTTCGGGGCTAAGGGAAGGGTTATTCTCCAAATCCTGATAGCGTTCAGGGATCAGAACCTTGTCAGGAGCCATTAGCTAGAACAAACATACAGAACATATATCATAAATACATGCACAAAGTGATAAACTATATTAAAAAATGAAACTAATATCATGTTGATGGTATCTAAACAGGGCACCAGGAATGCACTGATGATTCTGATAGGTGCTCTATGTGTTTGACCTTTTATGAAGTTAAGCTTGCTTTAGTTTACTTTCAGCTTATTAGTTTTTAAAGATTTAATTACATTGTTGTCACATATTTCTCTTGTGTCCTTTGTACGACGAGGATGTCAGATGTCAAACGAGGACACGTGGAAGATGCTGAGGAGGAATGATGTGACAAGGACGAGAGAGGCTGTGTCTCTCCTCAGTTATTATGGACAAGGTGCCATTACTAGACTATGAAATGGTTCAGCTGACGCCTCTGGTGTGAAATACTTTGATCAACCACTGATTGGTCAGTCAAGGTATTCTGAATAATGGTGTATTGTGGAGACAATGCATTTGTTTTAAACTAGTATTCTGAATGTGACAGCTATTCATTTCACTAAAGAACTGAGTAATGAGTGAACAGGGGAAGACGCGCTGTATTTGTTTTATGACTCTAACTTAAAACATCCACTATTCGAGACAAGCAGACAGGCATTAATGTCAAGTTATTGCCAGACTGCACATGCTGGAACCAAGTGTTTTCTTGTTTCCTTGCAATATATCACAAAGTCACTTTAAACTTTTTCACCAAAACATCTGAAAATGATGTCATTTATGAGTTAGACAAACACGTATCTCCAGAAAGCAACAACACATTAAGTTAAACACATAATGTACAGACAAAGACAGCTGCAGGACAGATGGGCTGGATTTGGTGTTCAGATTTAAAAAGCAGAAACCCTGCAATATAATAGAATCAATCACAAGCATGTCAATGTGACGATGTAAAATGTACTTAATACAAAAAATGACCTCTGTGAATGTTATAACTGTGACCATTATACTGTACATAAGTTACACATTTTATCATGGCTTGCCTGGACACATTACATGTAATTTAGTTATCATCTCATTTTCTTTGTAGGAAACATGTCGTTGTCAACAGTACCAGAGGCATCTGTTGTTTCTTGTATTCATCATTGCTTCTTACCAACGCCTTGAAAACAGAATGCGCACTGCCAACTGATATGTGTGATGCGTAATGTGAGCAAAGGTTTTAGAGTTCAGAACAGAATGAGTGAAAAAGTGAAGTGATGCTGTCTAATCTCACCTCTTTGTTGATGTCATAGTGTTCTGGTTCAACCTGTAACCGTCTCAGACGGGCGATTTCTTCCTGTGGTGACTCCTGGCCCTGACCTCGTACCGCTGCCTCCAGGTCTTTAATGTCAATTTCATGGGCTGTCAGTCGCCTACGAACCTGTTCACACACAGATAGAGATACAACAAATCATCTGCATGCTCAACAATAATTATCTTATTCTATATATTTTGTTTGAGAACTTTTTGATACATTTTTATTGCTCAAAGTTAGCAAGAAACTTTTTGACTGAATAAGCTTTTTGAGCATGACATCATTACTAGAAGATGTCATGAGCCATTACTCAATTAGTACTACTTTACCATTAAAATTAAGCATAAATAAATACCATTTTCTTCAACAAAATGTGTACTTCAAAACAGTATGTTCTTTAAAAAAACACGATATAGTGTTAAATGTGTACATTTAACTGTCATCTGAAATATGAAGAGCATGGAGGATAAACACATGGTTCAGGTGGACTCTGCTGGCATTCTGGTAAAATGTGTGACAAGGAATCATCTCATAAGCTTGACCGTACCACTTTGTAGTTGGCTGGAGTCTGGCTACTTGAGAGGTTCAGACTGCGCCTCTTGTCCCTTACAGAGCTGCTCTGGTTTCGACGAATTCGTTCATTCTGCTCCTCCACAGTCATCTTGGACTTAATCTCAGCAGGAAACACGGCGCTCTTTGGACGTTCCTGTGTCAAGATGTCATAGAAACAAACTAATTTCAGGCATGATTTCCATCTTCGTCCTGTTTGAAATTAGTGTTGCCTTTGACACAGCTGATCATTGTGAAGGTAGTTTATTTACTGTCTATTGGTTTCCATATGAATTATTCCTGTGTTGGCTTGTACATTAACTGCTAGAAGGGTGAGCAACTTCTGTTCCCCTGAGTGTGTAGGAGAGGAGACCACTAAATCAAAGATCCTGTCCTGTGTGGAGTTCTTATTTCTTTTGTGCTCACACTTGTAAACTAAAGGCCTCAGTGTCGGCACCCAGTAACACTTAGTTGTATCCTCATGATGAATAATGCTGAGAAGGGTTTCTGTTCGATTATATAAGATTTGTTTTCTTTAACCACGGCTGAGAACCACAGGCCTTATTTCTTGGGCTTTTTCTTAAGGCAGGCCAATAACAATGCTACTGGCGGTTGTTTTTGCCAGTGTACCACCATCCAACTAGATGTGATGAGTCACATTAAAATAGCCAGGATGGCATCATGTGTTGTCTGTGACAGGCCACTGAGTATAATACAGTCTTTAATGTCTTCTTTGCTGGAATGCTGCTGAATGTTTTGAAGTTTAACAGTAGGCTTAATACAAGTTGCTTGAAAAAACATGTACGATAAAAACACAATGTCATGAAATACAGTTTTACAGACAACAACTAAAGAGATACAATAGACAGTCATAGGGTGCACATATAGCTTGGATAGGATGACAACCAATGTCTAAAATGATCAAAGCATACATAAAACTGAAGCTAAAGTTAAGTCATTACTGATGTATTCTATTCTAATTATCTTTGTAGGACCACATCATTGTATAATTATGTCAGTGGACTTTTGCTATATTCCCTGTATAGGCTACATCATATTTAAGATCCAGGGATGTGATTTCATGTGTAAGTTGATCATTTGGTCTGTCATTCTCTTGAAGTGCTTATAGGCTGCTTTTCTCTGGCATTGGTGTTTTTCTGACATTTATATTGTTGGTTTAAAACTTGTGGTATTATCTAATCCTCGTCATCTTTTATCTGAGGTATGTCTTACAGTTTAAATGGTGAGAATACAACAGTGGTCCTCTATTCCACCTGTGACAGCCAGGATTTGGGAAAAGATATTATGTAGTGAAACAATAATGACCACATACATGTTGGCATTATTTGAATCGCTCCACATGTTCTTCATCCCGAGTAAAAGCTGTGAATACCAACATCCCATCCTCTTCAGTTATTTAAACATGTGAGCTCATATTGTGCTTTTTATCAAGGTGGTAAGATGTCATGGTAAGATGTTTTATGTTTATATGTTTTATCTTGTCTATATCTTATGTGAAAATACTGTAAAGCACTTGTGCTTAAGTGATTAAGACTGACTGGCAGTTACCTGATAATGGTGACAAAAGGAGGCACCACATCTCTAAGTTTTTAGAGACTACAACTGTTTGATTTCCACATAGATTTTGGTTTGAAATGTGGATATTATTTAGCAGTGGTATGTCATTTGGGTTGACCTACCCTGGAGATTCCATTCGGCCTGCTCTCATTTGGCTGGAAAACTCCAGCAGAACTCCTGTGCAATTTGTCAGTGGGGGACTTGGTTCTAGGAGGAACAATGCCAACTAGCAAAGAACAAAAGACACAAGTTATAAGTATTAAAAAGAAGGATCTGATTTCGAAAACATAAAACCACGAGGCAATCCTTAGTGTTTCAGTAAAAGGCAACTGGACCTCTTTTTTTGGTTCATGGAGATATTCTGCATTTCTTTCAAGACATTTCCTTCAGTTTTAATACCCAATTCACACTGCACTCTGTTTGATTAATTTGGCAGCAATCAAAAATGTTGCCTTCATGTCTGAATGTGGTCCCTGGTTTCTTTTCAGTAAATGTTCCAAATGTCACTTTCAACACAGCACAAGTCTGAACTGCACACACCCTCACAAGCAACAATCTTAGAGATGTGGGAAGTGATTTAGGGAAGGCTTTTTCCACATTTAACATCAGTAATGTCCCAAAACATCACAGATTGCAAAAACTTGTAGTTCTGTCCTTAAAGGAAGGAATGCCCCTATTTCTTTTAGATGCAGGTGGACTGCTACGTCTTGTCTTGAGGTGCTGGATTTTCTGTGTGTTGCCATGTGCTTGTGGAGTGTTTCTAAGTCGACCCTATATAGAGTCTGTACACTGCTCATTGCATTTGACTGCATATACAGCATGGCTCAGCGTGTGTTGTGTTGTCGTGTTCTGAGAGCTGTCTTAATATGTGTGTAGCTTCTTCTTCTGTGGAAAAGAAACAAAGTAGCCTCTTGGATGAAAGGTGAAACATCTTCAAGGAAGAAAACGAGAAATGCAGTTGCCTTCTGCTGAAGCACTTACAATTACTATGACCTGCATGAGTGAGAGTCTCCACAGACACAACGAGGCAATGAATACATCAACAGACAGAATTCTTAATTAAGGGTTTTCATTCATCTACCATTTATAAATGTTGATAAAATGAGAGTCATCAGTGTAATCCCACATCTCACAATGGTCTCTGCACTGTGCTAATAGTTAAATGCTAGTTTATAACTGTTACATAGTAAACTTGAAATCCAGCTTCCGTACCTTTATTGGCAGACTGTCTGTCCTGCACCTCCTGCATCTCACTGTTATTGTTCTGTTCTCCAAACTTCGACTGCAATACAGATATATTATTGTCATGTCAGTATTAAACATGAGGTGGTGGAATTTCAGTACACATCCATGACTACAGGTTAAGCTGAGCACATTACATTATTGTGTATAGTGATGAACTGAAATGCAAGGTAAACCTGTAATGGCAGAAGCAACACAATGCGCACAGACACAATAATGGCTCGATCACACAAACGTTTATGATCCTTCAAAAAAATCATCTTACTTTAGAGATCACATTTTGCTCACTAAGCTTTTGCAAAGAGTTCAATACATTTACTGTTCTGTTGATCCATTAAAAAAACTATATTGACACTGTTGAGCTGTTGGGGGAAAAAGAGAACATGAGAGTGCAAAGCTGACTCTCCAGGTGGAAAAAAAGCTCTACAAAAGAGATGTAACAAGGTTTTTATCCAGTTGCGAAGCAGAAATGGATGGTTCAAATATGTTCCCCTGAATTAGAATTATGATTTCAAAAGATGAAACTGGACATGGATGAAGGGAGGACAGGGGCAGAAACACCTAAATACCTTTCTGATGTGAGAATCTTCACCATCAAGGTAACCATCATCGATACCCAAGCTGCGAAGCCAGGCAGTGCTGTCAAAAGGCAGGGGAGGGATGGAGGGGGGAAAGGTAGGGGAGGGCTCTAAAGGGTAATAGGATTTAGGGAGGGGAGGCCTCGGGGGAACACTTTCCTAGATCACCATTAGGGGAGTAGGGAGTGAGGAGGAAAAGGAGAGAAAGGATAGGAGGAAGAAAGTGCTGCACATCAGGAAAGGTGACAATAAGCCAGGCAAAGAGCAGAGCAGAAAGGGCTCATGGCAATGATTCTGTGAAATGGGTCTTGTTTCCATGTTAAGGAGTTTAGTGTGAAAAACCTCAGTTGGTGAATCAAACACCTGGCCTTGCAGATTCTATGAATTATCGTTTTGACACAATACCCATGAAAGGCTCATAGCAACAGTCACCACACGTCATTCATCATGATGTCAGTCGTTAGAATATTATCTTTTAAGGTACCGTACAATAGCAAATGAACTTATATAAGAAAACTATCATTTTAACTCTAATATCTATGAAGTACTGTTTTCTTTAAAGATGAGTCTGCATGAACACTTTGCCTGAATGATCACTGGGTGAATCCAACTGTGTTATGATACAGATAACTGGATTAATGTCCAGTTCTCCCTGACTGTTTGGGTAAGTAAGTCGCTTCAAGCTTGCTCGTGACTGACATAATGGATAAGAAGGTAGCTGGTGATGGGTGTCAGGGCGATTATTTCTAGAACAATGAACTGATGGTGTGTAAACATCTGAGCTGCAGCGAAGTGATAAAACATCAGGCTGGTAGGAGTCCTGAAGAAGCAGGAGCTGAGATTCAGGCACAGAAAAACGTCTTTTAGAGGACAGTTTTTTGTGGCCATCATGGTGTTTTGCTGAAAAGTGTGATACATGGGAATCTGGATATACATCTTCTCTGACTCCAATCCTGACTTCTTTGCTGCAATTTGAGGTTAGCAAACGAATGTCTGAATGCTGATTGGTAGGGTCATCGCATTGTAACTGGAGAAAACGGATCTGTTCTGTTGCTCTGGCTTTGTCTGGATTTAAAGGTTGGTCAAAGTTTGAGTTGGTTCTATTCATGTTTTGGTCCATTTCCTCTACTACAGGATCTAATCTCCCCAAGGTTTCCCTGAGGTTATGGAAGGCAGGGGTAGAGTGAGGAAAGGTGTGGTTGTAGTTTTCACAACCATAGTCGTTTAAATAATCTGCATGCAGGGCTGTGTCAGGTTCCCTGTAACTTTTAGGTCTACACCGAGGTTTAGGGTCAGTTTTGAAATTAGGCATGAGGCATGACTTGGGAGGAGGTTTAGAGCTCGATCTTCTATGCACTTCAGGGTTGGTTCTAGAGTCTGAGCATGGACCCGTGCCAGGTTTTGGACTGGGTGTGGCTCCTGGCTGGGTGTGTCCGGTGCTTACCTCCACGCCAAGCTGTTTGTTGGGGGAGGCCTGGCAGCCGGGCACTGGGGAGAAGGGGCTGAGCGGGCTGGTTAGGCTTACTGAACTCAGGGGACTGGCTGGGCTATTGGTGCTAAAGGAGCCTGATGCACCACTGGCGACTGTGCAAGAGAAATAAAGAGGTGCAAAGATAGAGTCATTAGAATATACATGATAGAAACACAGGGCATTTCCTTCAACATATCATTCTTTTCCAGATCTAGCATATTACCTCTATGCTTGGCTGTGTCAGTGCCTCTGGATGAGTTACTCTTGTGTAGTCCCTCCAATACATCCTGGACTCTCCAAAACTCCTTCTGGATGTGTCTACGAACTAGTTCACTCTGGAAAAAGGCCAGGACAAAGTAATATGTCAGAGGAAAGTGAGGTCTATGGATTATTTTCGTCATCCCAAGGAAATCCCTTTTGACAAATTGTTGGCTATTTTGTTTTAAGAAAATTGGTCCTCTTCAAAAGAGTGCAAGTAGAAGAAGGAGACATATTCAAACAAATGACACAAACAACTAACATTTTTCAGTCATTTTCACTGAACTGAAATGATTTAAAAACACAAATTACTCATATGTAAAAAGCAAGTAAGCACGTACATTTATAACATATTTAAATCTATAGAGTTAATCAGATTTCAGGTTATGTACCAATGAATAGAGTCGACTTGGGGAGAAACAGATAGATTCTGCCTTATTTAAAGCTTTGACAGAAATCATCTGGTGTTCTCTTTGCTTTGAAGTGTGCAGTGTCATCATCTAAAGAACGCTCTCAAAAAAAGATTTTCCATTCCTGTGAGTCTGGTAAGGGATTTCAAAATGTATTTAAAAGTATTCCCTTTTGAGTAAAATCCTCTACAAGAGGTGCAGGTTTTACATGACTGCCAATTTGTCCAGAAATGGTTTCCCCAGGAAATGTATCCCAAAAGCAGACTGTTGGATAAAAAAACATGTCTCCAAAAGCCCCAAAATGTCATCACTGGATCACAGTGTTGTGCAGTGTTATGTATTACTGTGGCTTCACTGCCAGGGGCTATCTGAACGTTGAAGTAGACTTTTTTCCAGTATAATGATCTTATGCAAATTTACCAAGTAATGGATGGTTATGGGTTACAGAGTGGCCTTGTCAAGAAATAAAAGCCTAAACTTGAATTTCATATATATCTTGTGGAAGGGTCTTAAACGGGCACTACATGTAGGAAAACCCTCAGATATCTTTGCAGCTGAAGGAATTTGGGGTTAAAGAATGGCAAAAAAAAACAGTCAGAAAGCTTACATCAGAGACAGACGGAATATGCAAAATGTCTACAAGACGTTATTTTTGTTAAAGGGGCAAATACCCTCATCTCATGTCAAGAGCATGTTCACTTTTTTCTACCGAAGAATATTACTATTGATGTTTTTGTTGAATGTATTATTGAAAATACAAATTTTGCTTTTGGTTGTGTTGAAGTAGAGATCCATTTTCTGTAAGCAAAGGGAATCAAATGTGTACTTGTCCAAATATGTAGAATTTATGAAGCATTTGTATAAACAATTGCCATTAAACATAAAAGGAAAGTGATACAAACTGTCACTTCTGGTTTGTGCTGTCGGCTTTTACTGTAAAATAGCCTTCCCCTTTCCCATACAAATTACAGTTGGATTATCAACTCAAACAGGTGTGATGACATTGTGACATTTTACCTGTCCTCCTGCATTGAGCTGCTCCCATAAATCCCCATGGATGGCATTGGCCTCGTCCTCTAATGCCTCAAACTCCATACGAGTCGTGGTTAAAGCCTGTGAGGAGCATAAATAAATACAGCCATACTCAGGGAATATTCAAAGCCTTTGGTTTACATAAATCATTTCTTGCTTGTGGGGGTGTAACGGTACAACATATTTGTTTTTTTTTAGTTCACACAAGAACACATATGAATAAAAGAAGACATGCATGAATTGGCCATTTATTTTGAAAAATAAAAGAGTATAAAGTTATCTAATTGACTATAATCTTTACAGCAACATATTAAGTAATTGAAGTAAATCATTAAACCTTTCACTGCAGTTTCAGCTTCAGAACTCCATAAAGTCACAGTGCCTTGTCAAGTATGTAGACGTATACTTCTGGGCTTTGGAGCACCAACAAAATTTTAAATTAGACTTTTTCTTACAACTGGTCACTTGCTATTGTATTTGATCTGATTGTTTATTTCTTGTCTTGCACCAAAATGGGTTGATGACACCTGGAGATGTGGTAACATTTGGTGGACAACAGAAGAACATGATATGTAGTATTGAGCTACAGCATAAAGTTAGAGCTGAACTAGTTAGCTCTAACTAGCTATGGCCAGATAACTGGGTTACAGCAACCCTGAAGTGGCAGAACAGGATGCTCCTGGTCAGCAGTAACAAGTGCCTACAGACAGGCATGAACCACATACTCGCAACAGGGTGCTGGAGGATGTGCTGGAACAAGTCTGATCCACGTTCCATCCAATTTTATACTTACAGAATTTAAAGGATTGGCTGCTATGTCTTGGTGCCAGATACCGTAGGGCACCTAAATTAGCTAAACTTACCAGGTTACCTAATTTTGTTGTTGCTGTATTAACCAACTCACAAATCATCAGTCATGAATCTAGAACAATGCTATTGACAAAAAATATATTATAAATGATAGAAACAATAGCCAGAGTAAGACCAACTTGCAAATTGTCTTATGTTGGACCACAGATAAGATGAATAGCTGATGAACTGTCTTACACTGGAGGCCTGTGAGAGCTCCCCTCTGATGTTAATGAGCTGGTTCTGCTGGGTTTCCTTTTTGAACTGCAGCTTTTCTATGATTAACGGCTGGTTGTGGTACAGCTCCATCTCCTGATGAGTTGCCACCAGAGATTCCTCTAGGTTGTCCTGGGAACAGTAAGCATGGCAAACAAAATGGAGTTTATTACAAATTTGCTTTGACACTTTTCCCCTAAACTAAAGCAACAGGTTAAGAATGTCAGCGCTCCACTCTGTGCCTCAAATCCTTGTACAAGTTTAACGCGAGGTACTTTTTTGCTGGGTCTCTTAATAGTACAATAGGTGCAGTTGTCAAAGAGCTTTTTGTGGTTTTATTCTAAAAAAAACTTTTCATATTAGGACGTTACAGCCAATTTAACTGAACAAAAATCAGCATACACATCTCGGTATCAAACATACATACAGTGAGTATGTTATTATAAGGTTCTGTATATGTTGAGTGGCCAGTAACAATACTAATGTCCTATAATGTGCAGTAATGCAATACAACAGTGCAAAATCTGAATTAGTTTTTTTTAAATTCACTACTGCCGCTGTAGTTAGTGGGATAGTTGTACAGAACTGTAAGACACAAAATAACTTCAGAAGAGCCTTAAAGTGGAGCCACCACCAACACTAGCATCATGACAAAAACTGGACTTTGTAGGTCAGGTTGAATTCATTGCAGGGCTGTTGTACTGCAACGCATTAAAACGTGAGGTACAGTTTTTTTGTTGACTATATTGTTAATCCCATATGTGGTAAAATGAGATTCGTCTTAGCGATTCCCTTCACTATAACTATTCAAACCTCTGTTGAGGGAAGAAGTTGGAAGAGCACAGATGACATCATAGTTTAACATAAACAGCATGAATTTGTCTGGCTTCACAAGCTTTTCTCAAACACACGGTATAATAAGGTAGGGAAAATACTATACCTTGTCCATTCTCAGTCTGTGGACAACAGTCTCGTGGTCTTTCAAAATTTGATTCTGCTCACACAGTCGACCCAGAAGTTTCTGTGTCACATAAGAAAATGTCAGATCATCATTTTTTGTGTTTAGTAGAATCCAAAGAGGAAGTACAGGACAAAGTACGACAACGTATCTGTGTGGATACATGCTGACAGTACAAGGCCAAAAGTATCACAGTATCTTAAAGTGCTGTGCAGCCACAAGAGCATGAAGGTGTTTTCTGACAGAGAGCAGTTGCAGCTGCTGCCTCCTCTGTATCAGTGTTATCACAGGAGCCAACATGCTGCTGAGGTAAGTGGCAGCGAGGACGTCTGCCCCTCTCATGAACATACAAGGTTCTTGATGGGTTACTGTTTCAACTTGCTGCCGTGGCTGGATGTGTGACCACTGCAACCACAGAAGCATCGTTGGTGAGGGTTGCTTATAAAAAGTACCATCAGGAAAAGGTTATGTTGGTAAATTCTTGTTATAAAGCTGAAGTGCGCTGGTTATGATTTAATGTTTGGAAGCAACAAAAGAGGAAAACTTCTGAGCGGTGAACATTTTTTAAAATGTAATAAAGGAAGGCATTTTACAAGCATTGTCAGAGTGATATATTTCTTCAACAGTAGAGAGCAGATAGATCATGGTGTCTGTTTTTGGTCTGACACCATGAACAATGTTTATGATACTACGGTTGCTTTGGTTTTTGCACACCTGAAGCCATTCTATTCTTTCTTGGCTGAAAGCTGCTAAAATATGCAGACAGATGTGTTCTCGTGCTTTTTGGCCGTGCACTGTATTTGAAAAGACAGAATGTGACACAAGCGATGTCATACACTGGTTTCGATCTCGTTGAGTTTCAGGGTGGGATGTAGCTCTCTGCTGTAGACATCATGGAAAGGAGGCACCTGACAATAAAGAAAAATGGACAAATGATCACCATCATTCAACCTGTACAGACCCTGTAAAGCTGTAAAGCAACATTCAGTAAGACAGTCATAAACATCAACATTTTTTTTGCAAGAGAGGAACAATCCTATGTTAAACAGACCTATTAGTAATTATTTTACTGGCTGAGTTTCAATCATGTTCAATACTTTCATCCCCAAATATAAACACAGGACTCTCTCTGTCTGTCTCTCATGATGCACTGACAGTTTAGAGAAACCCATGGAGAGTTTTCTTCAAAAAAAGATGTGCAGAGCTTAATTTAAATACAGCAGCTCAAATATTCTACCAAGAATCACTTGAATAAACACACTGAATTCACTTTGGTGAGCCTATACTCATCATGTTTCTCTTGCACAACAGCACACTATTTTGTTCGTCATCGCAGTGACTCACATCCATCTGCAGCTACATACCACTGAATCAAAGCACAGTGACACATTTTGATCACTTGTTTATAGAAGTTTCATTTACTTACATTTACAAATTTAAATGAATAAATAACTGGAAATAAATTTTGAATCACACTTTTGTTTCTGAGAGCACAACTATGAAATATAATAATATCTTATATTGTGCTATTATTATACGTGGCCTAATTTTATTGCATCTACACTAAATTATCTTGAAATTATTTGTTTATTTATTGAAGTGGAAAGATATTTTGCCAGTTGTGCCCCCACCAATTCCCACATATCAAACAGTTTAACTCAGAGTTAACAGAGGTTAGGGTTTAGGATCTGTTCATCCTGGGAAGGATTTGTTTGCAACCTTGTAGAGGTAGAACATGCTTCTTGAGAGTCAAACATCAAGGCAGAGCATTGTCTTTTGTATTCACTACTCTGCCTTTAGTAAAAGTGGAAATGGGCTGAGGGTCAGATTGCCTCTTGCATTGCCATGAGCAGTCATGTGACCCAAACTTTAGCACAGTTTTTGCATACAGTGGCGTCGAAGTCGTTGAATCTCAGGAATAGTGTACATCAATTTTAGGGTCTGCTATGCCCCCTTTTGTTTGAATAGCGACATGCGTTGGAGCTGCATGGACTCACAAACCATGTTATCCAGGCAGAATTATGCAATGTTCCAAAGAGCTTCTTGTCACATCAGAAATGCTTGGCTTGCTAAGTCTTATTCCATGGCAGTCCTTCTAATGCTTAACACAATTGTTAAGCATGTTTCTGAAGACTTCTACTTTTCCAGGATGTAGCCGACTCAGTGTAGGTGTTCACCTCTAAGTTGTGTCTGCATCTTACCCTTTGGCATGCTGTGACTTTCTCTTGTGCACCAGCACTTATTACAAAGTGCAGTACACTATCCTGTACTCTTAATAATGGCTCTAAATTAACTGCAGAACTGCACTGAGCAGATGCGATGCTCTGTTTCCTTTTTGCCTGCCTGGTTTTCTCTGTCAGCAGCTCGACTAAATAATAAGAAGGAAAAGTATTCAGAGATTTTGGCAACAGAGCTGGGCAGCCGGCACTGTAGATAGCTGTAATTAATCTACAAGTTTATTGTTCCTTTGCTTGACAGGGATGACTCAAAAGCATGGCTCAGACACTTTCTGTGTAGACACTGTGTTCGTCCTGTGATGGCCCACTCTTGCATGCATTTATATGCCATAATTGTACATTATCAACTTTCTGTCTTTTCCCCTCCTGTAGTTTGTACTTTGTTTACTATGCAGGTATCTCTGGCTCTGGAGGCTTCAATTTAAAAAAATGTTTTTCTCTTTGTTGCCAAGTGCTTGTTTAAACACAGTCAATGGATTAATTGGGTAATTCTTTGATATATAACACTGCTCTACACCCATTTTGGTGTCAAAGTTTTTTGAGCTGATTTTGGACAATTGCAGTGTGCTGAATCCAAATATTACATTGGTTTTGTTCTATGAGGTCAAAATTTTTATTTGCAATTTACTTGTATTTACCTTTACAAATGTTTACGCTCACTAACTTTTGGATCATTTAGCTTATGAAAAGAATTAGAAAATGATTTTTTCCCTCTAAAATCCAATTTCATATGAGAAATACTAAAATAAATCAATCGCTAATGTCAAAAAATATAATCAATTTAGTGGCAAAATCGATTTTTAAAATTGAGTTGGTATAAAAACCTGACCTGATACAGAAAAGCAGAATTTCATTTTTGGATTCAGCGTTGCAAAAATGTCCGAAATCAGTTTAAAAAAATCCTACACACCTTCAAAAAAACATTTTTTTGAAGCCCAGTGTAATATAAACTAATGAAGGGTCTTGACTCAGTGCCAGGAGAGTAATTATGTTATTAATTGGCACAACATAAATAAAACTAAACTAAAAAGAACTGGATTGAATCTGTCTGCCTGATTGATACAACTGATCAGTTTCCACCAAGTGTTGTAGAAAACTTCAGTCTGGTCATTGATTGATGCTGAGAAAGCCTCTTGCTTGAGCCATCTGCAACCAGCAATTTCCCACTTAGCTCTGATGCCATGTTGCTCACTCTGAAGCAATGTCCCGCTGGGAAATTGACGCACACCCTCATTTATAACAGGTAAACAGTGGTTGATTTACTTGGGTAGTTCCCTGATGAGTAGACCAACATCAGAACAAAGAAGTCTTCCAGTGGAAGAAATACAACTATAGGAAATTTCACCTTTTGCACAAAGGATTTAACAAGGTCAGTGCCACTAATATGATTGGTTTCCAAAAAATTGTGCAAAATCTTAAATATTTCTTTTATTTTAAATTCAACTCCTGGGAATTTTAAAAGCTTCCAAAACAACAAACCTTGGGAACAATTTCAAAAATCAACGGCAACAAGTTAAAATTCACAAGGTATTAAGTGGACATCAGCAAAAATTTAGGAAAGTGAAGCTACAGAGAAGGAATCTAGAAAAGCTAATCAGACTTTTTTTAAAAGGTCATTTTGCAGACATCATTTGGAAGGAAAGAAGAAACATGGAAGAGTAGATTGTAACAGACAGAAAATGAGTGAACACAAATCACGGACTGACAGTTGCTACACAGACTGATAAGTACAGTTTGTGTACGTCATGTAAGGACAAACACCACGGTGTGCGCGTCCTCCTACCTGTTGGTCTAGGTAATCCAGGTTGCGCTGGAGCTGAAGGTCTAATATGTCCTCCTAAGTCAAGCAGCACCAGTGGTGACAAACATGGAAATCACACAGACACATATTGTACAAAGAGAAGACTTACAGATAAGACAGCAGCAAAGCAAAGCACCACAACCCATCTGCCAATCACACCAGAGGTTCAGCCGTGATCATTTTTGGTCAAGTTTTGACTTAAAGCTGCTTCATCACAGTCCTTGCCTTGATCCAGGCCTTTATCAGTCATTTCACGTGATAGCATGATGTCATATTGGAAAATGCAGCTCAGTGCTTTCCTCACTCATGTCTCTTGCCTTTTTATATCATCCCATAGGAGACGCAACAGAGATAATGAAGGAATAGTAATTACTTGACGTGATGTTGTGAGTAATTCCTGCATCATATATCTTCTCTCTCTCTGTAGTTTGCGTTTTGTTCTCTCTGTGTTTATCTCTGGATCTGGAGCTACACATCTCTAACCTCCAGTTTCTGGTCTCACTGATCTCCAAAATGTTCATTGTTCTGTTTGTATTGTTAGTCTGTTCTCCATCTGCTATCCTGCCCTACCACCACCACCAACCCCAACCACATGAGGTAGATGGCTGCCCTCCCTGGGATTCCTGGTGCCTGAGCTTTTTTTTTTGTTTTGTCCTTTCTGGTAGAGGGGAGTTTTACTTTTTCCTTCCCACTGTTGCTTGCTTAAGAGGAATCCAAAAGAAAATCTGAATTTATTACATTTCTCTATATACATGTTGCATGGTCTTACTATGTAAATTGCCGTGAGATGACATCAGTTGGGAATTGACGTTATATAAATATAATTGAACTGAACTGAACTGAATGTGGACGAGATGCAACTACTCAAGACAAACTGCATTTTATCTGTCAGGTGTGTAGAAATCAGCTATCAGGTGTGTTCCTCTAAGTAGCAAGAAAAGAAAACAGCTTGCACTGTTACGCAGCTGCTCCAAAAGTTATTATATGTATGCAGAAGGTAACTAAATACAATCATGTAGCTTTTTACAACACACACACACACACACAAGTATATTGAGCAAAATCTAGAGTCACAGGTAAAGTCAGTCGATGTCACTTTCAGTCTCTGTGAATAATTTCTCTACACACACATATTATCCACATGAATACACTGTATGTTAGAACTGCTGCTGGCACTGCATGCAATTACTTAACATTTAACATTAGCTACTATTAAATACTGTTGCACTGTTAAGCTGCTTCCACAGTAGCCCTGCCACTCCTTCTACTGTCTAATCAAATTAGCTGACTAGTCTATATAATGATCAAACAGGTGACACAGTCCGGTACAACACTAATGCACATCCCCCCACCTCTGTGCTTCATTGTTGGGACTATGCATTCACTGTGGTAGGTCTGGCCAAGTTCACACCCAACATACTGGACCCGCCTGAGCCGAACACATTCATCTTGGTCTCATCTGACCAAAAAACTCTGCTGTTCACAAGTCATGATGTAACTATGATCATAGAGGTAGGGTGACTGGAAAACACAGCAGTTGTGTTTCAATGATCACAGCTATGGTAGGTTTTGTTGCACTGAGTTTCTACTTTTGGACCTTAATTTTCAATGTAGTTTTTTTTTTTTAAGTATTTGTTTTTGAGTGTTTAATAGAGAAAACAATCTACTGTTTAACTTAAATATGATGCGATTATTAAGAGGTGACACAATTCTGAATCATTTGGTACTGAATTGCTGTACTCACCTCTGTTCTATACTGAATTCTATTATATGTAAATGTTCTATGATTTATATATAACGATGTATATTGTCACAGTTTCCCTTTCATGAACTGCTTTCTGGTCTCCTGGTATATTCAGCTTCATAGGACTGCTTGGAGGACCTTAATCCATTTAATTAAAGTCATGTTTCTCTTACATGATGACCCACAAAGACACACTCATTCACATATGCACACAATAAGTGGTCCAAGTGCCATGTTAGTGACAGAACAGCAGAGTGGAGCAGAAGAAAGAGAAGTCTGGGAAAAACATCAAGATGCAGTGTGGCATGTACAGGGTTAGGACAGACAGGCTGAAGAGGGGGCAAAAGAAACCTTATAGCAGCTAAACATATCGCTGCATCAAGTCCTAGACTGTGCCTAAAACCACTGGACTGCTGGTGTAACTGTGTTATCCAGTAGTACATACCATTTTATTGCGGATAGAGGGGGATACAGGGTAGTTGTGGTGGTATAATCCTTGGCTTAAGGATCTCCTGTCACCAGGGTAGTCATACTGAACAGAGAAGGGAAGGTAACAAGTCAAGGAGGAAAGTACAGATGGAAGAAAGAAGAAAGAATGAATGAAATTTGTGAGTGTGGAGTAAGACAAATATGGTTTCAGAATAATTAAGCAAAACATTAATGTCTCTTCTCTCTTTCATCCCTGTGGGCTTTCAAAAATCTTTTTATACTAAATTCTACTCACAGATTAATAACGCTGTATTTTTAGCAACAGGGCTTTATAACATTTTTGAAATGATTAATTTCTGTTCTGCCTTAATCCTAATCCTCAATACTGTTTTTAATGTATTTTTCCTAGTTGGTTGTTCCATCTTAAATCATCAGATGCCGTCTGTTGGACTGTCTCTGATTCACCTGAAACTTTTTTTTTTTAAATCAGAAACTCTGGATATTTAAAGAGGTGAATGATGATATTTATAATGGTGACATTTTTGATTGATAAAAAATACTTTCTCTGATTTTTTTTTTTTTTAAGAAATGCTCCTGAACCCTCTTTTATTTTTTTCCCCTGTTATTTCTCATCATGTCATTGATTCCGAATTTGCAATATTGAACTAGTTAAAATAATCCAATAACAGTAACTATTATCATAATACAAAATACCTTTAATAAATTTTTTTTTTTTTTTAAATGAAAAAAAATTAAAGCTTTTTTTGAGCACATATTGACAAAAAAAAAATTATGATGCAGAAGTCAACCAGAAATATTTTCTGACCCTTATGTATGTCTGTGTCACAACAATACACAATAAAGCCTACAGAAGACTTTATATTTTGAAATACCTGGTTAGTTTTGTTACAAATTAAAAGACACTTTTATCACTGATTCCCTAACATTGAAATTTTCTGTCTAATTTTTAGGAACAGCGTTGGACAAAAGCTAGTTCCCAGGAATTGAAGACATCCAAGAAGCTCTCATAGATTTTAGGATTTTATGACAGAAACTCGTCAGATTGGGGAGGCGGTTACCTTTTACATATAAAAACAAAGACACACACGGATTGTCTGACCTTTGGTGAGCTGAGGGATCGTCTCAGGCTGTAGACGGACGGATCAGCATAGATCACATCTTCCCTCATCCTCCCTGGAAACCGGTCGAAGCGAGTCGATGGTGATCGAGCCGGTGAGACAAAGTTAGGTGGGACTGGTGAGTAGGGCCCCCCTGATGACGAGGATGGCGACCTGGGCACAGACCTGGAGCGTGGCTGAATGGACAGGCGCCGCATGGATGTTTCCATTCCACCATAATATTGTGACCCCCATGGGTCATGGGGAATCTGTGGTCCATACAGGGGATGGAAACCATCCCTCAGAGAGCGGCGCTTTTCCTCAACAGTCCAGCGTCGGTCGTATCCCCCCACAGCAGAGACAGAGCAGATACTGTCTGGTCGGACCCCTGGTGGGTACAGAGGGTACTCGTCCACATACTGGGGACCACCAGAGTAGCCACAGTAGTCAGCCAAGACCCCGCGATTTACTGGGTAGTAGCAAGATGGGCTGGAGAACAGAAAGAGTTTGAGACTGTTTTATCAAACGCTCTGTCAGGCATGAAAATAAAATAGAAGATTTATGTGAAATTAAGGTAAAGAATAAATTTCAAATTTTATCCTGAAGGCACATTATTATAAGACATAATTGGAATGAAGCATATTGTCAATTTCTGAATGTAATCTTAAGGTGTAAGAAAGGACTTCAGCCATGTAAAAGAGCTGGGATACAGTTTTATGACGTGGGTATGGTTGATGCACTGACACAACATTCAGGTCGTGATTTTTAAGTAGCCCTAATTTGTCAGTTCTATAGAACCAGCTGGACTGATTCTGTCCTTGTGTATCATAGTAATAAACCACTGATCTGTTTTGTAATGAACATTACAACCGTTTAGACATTTAAGGCAATTTTAGAATCTTTTAAATGTGTATGATAGCACAAATCTATTTGTTTTTTTTTGTTTGTTTTGTTTTTTTAGTAAGACAAGTCCAGTGAAAATTGGTGCCACAATGTCCTAAAGCCATTTAAAAACAAGTCAGACAAATCAGATGTGACCCATTACATGACAACTTGAAAGTCCACCAATCGCAACACCGGTCAGTCTGTGACAGTGGCAGTGCAGCGCTTTAACAACAGCATTTTTCCATGTTATTGCATGCCATAAAAAGACTGAACACTAATGAATAATATCAAAATTCAAGTGGGAGAACACTTGTCTGTACCTAGTGAAATGATCACTGTGCTGTTGTAAAGTCACTGTAGATGATATATACCACAGGAGTCACATTGGTATTCATTATAACCATGACCACAGGAGTTTGAAACTAAGTGCAAATAAAAACAGAAGAAAGACCTGTCGAGATAGACTGCTATTACTTTTCCTCCTTTTCCACTGATGTACCTGTTGATGTCCTCCTGAGAGGCCATGCCTCGCCGCTGGTTGACCCACTGTTGCAGCTGGGCCATGGAACTCTTTCGCTGGGCCACTTTCTCTGGTGCTGTTCGTGGCACAAAGCCCCGCCTCAGGATTACATTCTCCTGCTGTTCCCTGTGGTTTTGTGATGGGGCAACACCTGCCTCTACGTGTCCCTGAGTGGCACGATGTCCACTGTGATTCCTGGAAAGAGGGAGTTTGCTATTGCTGTTGTGGGTCACAGTGTTAGGAGGGCCGTAGTTGCTCCAACCGTTTGGGTGGTGATTTGGATGAGAGGCGTGGTCAGGACCGGGTCCTCCCACTTCAGCTCCACTTATTGCTGCACCTTCTCTTTCTCGTCCGTCATTAATTTTTCCCTCCAGATCAGAGCACGTGGTAGACAGCGGTGGTGTTTCAAGACTGTCGAGCCCATTGGTTTTCGGATGGGGGGACAGGTCACTGTCAGTTTCATTGTGGTTTTGTGCGTGTGGATGCTGTTGTGTTCGTGAGTCAGGTGCCTTGGTCACCATGATGTGATCAGCTGTGGTGTCCAAGTTAGTTCTGTAAAATGAAAAAGGAAAAAAGAATGGCAGAGAATGAAGAGGCCATTTATTTGTTTGGAGTATTTATTTTGAATAAGAATGACAGGCACTAAAACTAATTCAATTATCTTAAAAATAGAAAAATCAGTTCTTATTGATCAACACATGAAATAAACACCTAAATGCTCCTTTTGGGTTGATGGGAATTATTAGAAGCTTCAAAAAATTCTTTTTTATATTATTCTGTTGCTTTGGACCACAAACAAATGGTTCATTCTTGCCTTTCATAGCTGGTTAGTTTTGGTAACAGTCTTTCTTCATCATCAGCACAACATAGAGCTAAGCAGCAAATCAATCTGGTTGACAGCACGTCATGGTGCAGTAATCCACACTGTATGCAGTCCTTGAGTACTCAGAATATGCAAACTAATTTACCAAAGTGCCTCTTTTATCCTATATGTCACTGAATGTGGGGAGCTGTGGTATGTTTCTCCTGTATATT